CAGGAAATACAAAAATGGCACAAAAATGAGCCAAAAAAATACAAAAATGAGCCAAAAAAATACAAAATTGAGCCAGGAAACACCAAAAGTGAGACAAAAAACACCAAAAATGAGCCAGGAAACACCGAAATGAGCCAAAAAATACCAAAATTGGCACAAAAAACACCAAAAATGAGACAAAAACCACCAAAATTGGCACAAAAATGACAGAAAAAATACAAAAATGAGCCAGGAAATACAAAAATCACAGAAATGAGCCAGAAATGACACAAAAATGACACAAAAAAATCACAAAAATGACACAAAAAAATCACAAAAATGACACAAAAAAATCAAAAAAGGGCACAAAAATGACACAAAAATCACAGAAATGAGCCAAAAATGACACAAAAATGAGCCAAAAAATACCAAAAATTCCTGTCACTTTTTTCTCATTTTTATTCTCTTTTTTTCCTCATTTTATTCTCTTTTTTTATCTCTTTTTTTGTGTAATTTTGGGGGTTTTGGGGTTTTTTTTTTTCCTTTTTTTTCCTTTTTTTCCTTTTTTTTCTTTTTTTTTCCGAATTTTTTCCTGTCACTTTTTTTTCACTTTTTTCTCATTTTTTTCTCTTATTTATTCTCATTTTTTTCTCATTTTATTCTCATTTTTCACTCTTTTATTTCTCTTTTTTTTGTGTCATTTTGGGGTTTTTTGGTTTTTTTTTTTCTTTTTTTTCTTTTTTTTTCTTTTTTTTCTTTTTTTTCCCGAATTTTTTCCTGTCACTTTTTTCTCATTTTTTCTCATTTTTCTCTCTTTTTTTTTCTCATTTTTCTCTCTTTTTTTTTCCTCTTTTTTTTGTGTCATTTTGGGGTTTTTTTGGGTTTTTTTTTCCTTTTTTTTCCTTTTTTTTTCCTTTTTTTAAATTTTTTTTTTCCTATCACTTTTTTCATTTTTTTCTCCTTTTTTTTTCTCTTTCTTTTCTCTTTTTTTTGTGTCATTTTGGGGTTTTTAGGGTTTTTTTTTCTTTGTTTTTTCTTTTTTTTCCTTTTTTTTTCCTTTTTTTAAATTTTTTTTTCCTGTCATTTTTTTCACTTTTTTCTCATTTTTATTCTCTTTTTTTCCTCATTTTATTCTCTTTTTTTATCTCTTTTTTTTGTGTAATTTTGGGGTTTTTTGGTTTTTTTTTTTCCTTTTTTTTCCTTTTTTTCCTTTTTTTTTCTGTTTTTTCCGAATTTTTTTCCTGTCACTTTTTTCTCATTTTTTTCTCCTTTTTTGTGTAATTTTGGGGGTTTTTTGGGTTTTTTTTTTCCTTTTTTCCTTTTTTTTTCTTTTTTTTTCCGAATTTTTTCCTGTCACTTTTTTTTCACTTT